CAGGAATAAAAACAGCTGGGCATGGTAGTTTTCAGTATAAAAACAGAGTACAGGAAGAATGAGCTAAACAATTCATTTCTACCTACTCCAGTCTCCCTCCTTGAATCACAGCATCAGTGCCTGCAGCATACTAAAAGAACGATGAGACAATTACACATAATACGGAGTTGTACTCTCAAAAATCATATCACTGATTCCCATAAGCAGCTTCAGTGCACAGAACAAAAAATCTGCAGAACGGGGCCACCAAGGACTAGGACTGATATTTCCACAAACCCAAAAGAACCCCAAGGTTTGCAGAAAAATCAAAAAACCTTTTATTTAAAAAATCAGAGGGTTTCCAACTTTAAAAAAGGCAGAAGAGTGACATTTGCACATAGATAGATGTCACCTGGGAGAAAATATCTTCTGGGGGGGAAAACAGCTACCTGCAACGGCACCCGACAGTGGAAGAAGGTCGCATGGGAAACAAGAGAGCATGAGGGCAGTGACAAGAGGCAAGGAGAGCAAGGAACGACCAAGGATAGAGAAAGGAGCTGGGGGAAGGGAGAGAGTAAGAAGGCGAGGCTGTTTAACAGGAGATGGACAGAAAGAAATACTGGGAGGGTGAGTGGCATCGACAAAGGGCAGGAGCAGGGAGAAAGCAGAGATGGAGGCTAGGGAACCAGAGCTGAACCAAGAGGGAATGGGATTTTCTCTTCCCTGTGGAAAGAGGAGGCGGCGGAGGAGAGCTGGATTTCTGCCCTTCACTCAGAGCGACTCTAAGCTGAGTTAGTGTGAGCTAGCTCACAGATTTTTAGCCTCCGGCTCACACATCTTTCTCTTAGCTCAGGAAGGGTGGCTCCAGAGCAAACTAATTTATACAGTAGCCAGATCGCTTGCTCACAACTTTAATGCCCATAGCTCACAAAGTAGGATTAATGAATCTCTAATGAAACTCCACACCTTAGAGGAAGCCTATGAGGTAGGTGGGGATAAGAGAGCTCTTGAGAGAACTGCTCAGAGAACTGCTGTCACCCAGCTGGCTGCATGTGAAGGAGTGGGGAATCAAACCTGGTTCTCCAGATTAGAGTCCGCCAATTTTAACCACTACAGTTTGGGGTGGCTATGGCTCTTTTCCCCTCCCAAGTCCTGCTCTTCAACCCCTCCCACCAATGTACCTGGGAGAGTCTAAACAGTGCACTCTAGCCTCTGAGGAAGGCAGTATATGTTGGAATTGTCCGACTGTCACAAAAACTATTGGGGGAGAGCCACATTGTTTTTGTTGCTGGTCCCCAAACCTCACATGTTAGACAACATTTAACGTGGCAACATATGAGAAAAACTCAAGAAAGGGTATTTGAAGTTAAAACACACAAACAAAAGACAAGAGAAAGGCAGCATGTGGCAGGGATCAACTACTAAAAGTTTGGACAAACAGGACATTGTCTGGTGCCTAATGACAGAGATGGTGTCACGTGAACATTCATTGAGAGGAATTTCCACAGAAAGGGAGCAACCACAGAAAAGTGAACATGTTAAAAGGCACTCTGAGCTATGAATACCACATCTGTGCCCATAAATAATATAGGATCTAACAGTGCCCACAAATCACAAATTTGATCTTTAGAGGGCATGTGCAGCTCTATCAAATACCAGCTGACTACCACCTCCATGGTCCAGCAAACTACCCACCATCTACCTACTATCAACTAACTACCCAGCTACCAACACTGAGTGAAATGGAACTTACTTCCAGGTAGACCTGCTTAGAATTGCTCCCATATTTTGTCTGGGTTGAGTTTCAATTTATTAGTGCTAATTTATCCCCTTACCAATGTCAGGCACAGCTTTGCAGAACAAAGAGTTCATTCATGGTCTGCAACCTAAAGCATTACTATGGATTTGGGTGTGACCAGTGGGATTTTCTTATTTCTTTCCTTTCAACAGCAGACAGCTATATGCCGTACCAGAAACTGCATTTGAAAGTCCCCTCAGTTTAAAATCCAGCATAAATGATTACTGTTTGAGAAATGTGAGACTAAAGGTGTGAAAATTAGTTTCACTGTTATTTGTATTCCAACACTGTAGTTTATGGTTGTAACATTCTACTTTTTCTTCAACAGAGCAGAAACCATGTCTCCACTCACAGAGTGCGAGGAGACTAATTACAAAGTACTTTAAACGCTAAACAGCTTTCCAAATGGTGAATAAGCATTCTTAGACAATAAGGATAACCATAATCCTTTGTATGTCTTCCGATAACATTACAGCACATCACTTAATGCATTGAAGAAGGTTTTCAGACTTCATGCTTTAAAATGCTTCCTGTGACAACTAAACTAACACAGTCAGTCAAGTTCTTTTGTTTTCAGAAAAGAAAAAAATCCTTACCTTCCTGCAGAGGCTTAAGCAAAAGCAAGACAGTTTGGGACATCTGTTCCTTAGAAGTTTGTTCAATCTGTTCCAGAAAACCCAGAACAAGTTCTTTTGGATTGCAAAACTGAAAAAAATGGTGACAATGGAAGTCCAATATGTGTGTAATGTTCATTTCTAACATCTTATAGTAAACCAACCACCACTACCATCTATAAGATAACAAGCATATGACAAATCAGGATATTTTACACAATAACACTGCCATTTGAGAGAGGATTCAGGTGCAAGATGTTTTCCATCTTACGAACAATTATAAACAACTCCTAGTCACTGAAGCCTATGCTGCTTCACATCTGCATGAATGTAAAGATTTTTCTACCTAAAATCTAGTTTGCACAAAACCAACTTTCTAGTTCATTATCCCTTCAACAATATATATCAGCCTGAAAACATCTCTCCCTATATGTATATAAACCTGGCTGCCAAATCCCCTCTTTCCCAATTGAAAGATCTTGAATTTCCACTATTAGGAAATGCTCAGACAAGGCTAGAGCTTTAATGAATCTCTACAAAGAACAGATGCAAAGCAGTGGAGCAGCCTCCAGAAATCCTTTCTTTCTCGGGGTTAGCCGTTATCAAGCAAGTGCTTTTGGCTAATATAATTCAATGTATGATGCAGATGGAGATAACAGAATTCTGGACTTTGCCACTTCAAACTCAGGCACAAAGTTACAAATTTTAGAATTCCACTATGTTACAAGCTCCTTACATGCCGTGCACTAGATCAAAGAGTGGGATACACTTAATTTCTCTCTTTAATATGATAGATTACTATATGCTGGGAGCTTTCTGTGTGGGCAAGCATTCCTAATTTGACCACAGTCTGGAACACTAGAGTACAGAATTTCAAAGATAAGCCCTATCCATCCAGCCCCTTGTCTCTCCCTTAAAAATGCTTCTTTGGAATTTGTTATTCAGATCAATCCCCACCCCAGGCATACACACTGAAGGGTAACCATTCTCCCTACAACTCTACCTATCCCACAGAATCCTATATATAGTATTTTTATCTTTTAAAACAATCTAACCCCCCTTTGCCACCACTGAAGGGCAAAGCTAAAAGACATCTCTTATCTCTGCACCCTGATAGCTGACAGAGCAGACATTGTGACTCACCTCCACCAACTTATCTAATATTTTCTTGCAGCGATCTCTCTCAATGTCATTTTCTTTATATTCATGTGTACATCTGATCAGAGGACCCACAAGATTCCAGCCCATGCTTTTGATAATAACCTATACAAAAGATTTCAAACCCACTTTACCAGAAAATAAAATACTCATATATCAGAAAAACACAATGAGCTGAGTGCAGAGCCAAACTTTCAAAGTGTTCCAGTAGAGGCTGTTCTGGAAGTATATCCCAAGAATCAGAGTTACTGCAAAATTGTTTCATTGTTTATTGCATTTTTGTTCTACCCTTTCTCCACAGTTCTTCAGATAACACAGGCAGCACCCTTGCTCCATTTTATCCTTATAACAATCCTTATAATGGATTAGGTTAATGAAGAGTGACTGGTCCAAAGTGAACTTCATGGCAAAGGGGCAAGTGGAATCAATGTCCCCATTCCTAATCCAATACTTGAACCACTAGATTTCACTAGCTGCATAATACCTAGAAGGCCTAGTTTTCACTGAGGTGGTAAGCCTGTATCTGGAATTTATCACTTTAGATCCCAGGTGGTGGCTGTAATGACTCACTGATCCTCCATACAAAAACAATTCACCCTCATGAAAAAACAGCATGTCAGGGAGAAGGGATCTAAGCCTAGCCTTGTCCTGACATTTTAGTTGCAGAGGGAACTTTTCCATATGGAAAAGCATTTTGCCACCCAAGTCCCACCTGCAGAATGAGCTGACACAGTCCAGACCCAGAGTCTATCACCTCAATGAGAACTAGGTTCAGTGCTTCAGCATTATAGCCTTAAGCTGAAAACTCATTATTTAGTCTCTATGTGAAGGCAGTTCATGTGAATTGTGCATCTATTAACTCTCTGCCTTGGGTAACATTTCCATTTTAGGAAATAATTCCAACCAGGCTGTACAGTTTGACATAGTCCATATCACCAGCATAGACTCATCAGGCATCTGATGTAACAATATAGCTCAAGCACGGGTAACTTGAAATGCTCAGAATTATAAATGGCCTTTTCTATTATAGTAAGGGCTTAGAAATCATTAAACATTATTTAATAAAACAGCTATTGCTTGGGTTACTAGCATTCTCATTACTTAACAGGGAGACACATTTCTATCATACGTTCAAGTTTTCAGTTCTTGTAGCTCTATCCATTACCTGATGGCTTTGGTACAGATGGCGGTGTAGTTTTAACTCACCTTGTTTTTCTCATTTTGAATTATTTCTAATACTTCAGCTATATACCCCTCTTCCAAGCACTTCTTTCCTGCAGCTTGGAAATGGTCAAAATCTTCTCCTTTAAAGTCCTCCTCATTCAGTATTTGCTACAATGAGAATGTACATGTTTTCACTATAATTTATAAAATCAACTAGAAAACCATTGCATAACTTTACACAATACAATTTCATATCGAAATCACAGTGATTCTTTAATTGTATATAGATAAGACACCAACTCCAGAAACATGCCATCTGTCTCAGTGTTTCTTCAAATGCAGTCTGAAACATTTTGCTATACTTATGTCTAACAATAAAGTATTCTTATACCACATGAACACACATGAAGCTGACTTATACTGACTTAGATGTATGTTCAAGGTAAATCAATTTTGTGCTTTTTTCTTTTTTATTTTTCTATACTGTTATATAAATATTGGTATCAAATATTATCAAAAATAGGTTTCACCCAAACAAAACATCAAAGTGCAGGTTTACATTCTGTACAAACATTCAGACAGCACCTTGTCAGTATCACAACCACTAGTCCCACGGGACTCTAGTAATTTACCCATTTCAAATACAATCTTTTTCAAGGACTGTGATGTATATAAAGAACATAAGGTGCAACAGTTTTTCTTTGTGAGCACAAAAACTCTTAAGATAGCAGCATATTTTCTAGGGTCCCATTGGAACTCTTGCGGCAGACATAATAACCTATCTAGGATAGCATATCCCTCAAGTTCTATCAGGTAGGAAGGCAAGTGGGTGATAACAGTAACAGTCCCAAGTTAAAAGAGAACAGGAGATGAAGATCAGATTTCTTCTACTGTGTTCATCTCTGTAAAATCTATTAAAACAGCTCCTTTATGTTGCATAGTGGAATTTACCAAGTACTTACACATCTTTGTATTACGTCTCGAAATTCTTCTTTTGCCATTATTTTCTGATCTTCAAGAGCTCTGCCACAAGTTAAAGAACATACCCAAATGAGAAACACTTTATTCTATCATCCACTTATCAAACACTCAACCTAAAGATACTTAACATCAGACTTCAATACATTTAATAAACTTTAGCCTAATTAAAGAGTCTAGCAGAGTGTCCTGACAAATTAAGCTCATAATTGTTCTACCAGAGTGTTATCAGATTTCAGCTTGGTAGGGTTTTCTCCATCTGTGGTAACTTGGGGCCTACAAATCCTGCTGCCACATACAGAAGCTGACTTTTGCCACACCACTGCATGCCTTCCAAGCAGCATATCAAAAAGAAATCCTACATGTGGCAGAAATGCATGTATCCAGTAGCTGCAGGCTGAAGGGGATGAAAGTCAGCAAAAGATGTTCCACACAGCTGTGGCCATAAGGATCGTGACAACATGAGAGTCCAAAAGACTCATATGCAACCTACAGCTCACAACTTACACTACTTCAGCACATCATCAGTAACCCAGAGCCTCTCCTGTTTAAATGGTATTTCCCTTTCACCAGCTTTGAGTGTCAGACTTTTCCTTGGTTTTACAGGCTCATGGACAGTTAACCCAATACAAACACAATATATACCATGAGATGGCAACCCATATAAACAGACTCTTCTTTGAAGTTACTAATGAATAATACACTGGTGCTCAATATAACTTATATGATCCTTGTTGTTTGTATCAATACAACAAAGTACAACATAGTCTATTTCTTACAATAACCAACAATAACAAATAACAGCATGTACTTTTGTTCCATACAGCTTTGTGAATTTTTTTACAGCATATACTTTTGTTTAGTACAGCTTGTGAAAGATTCTGACGGGGTCCCGGTTTTCTTTCAGCCTGTTTCTTTATCTTTATCAAAGAATTCTCATACTTAAAGACTACATGAATGAAAGACTTCTGTAATTATTTCTATCACATACCGCTCCTGTTTCAAGAAGACAGATTTGAAACAGGAGCAGTATGCCATAAAAAGAATCGCAGAAGTCTTTCATTCATGTAGTCTTTAAGTGTGAGGATTCTTTGATAAAGATAAAGAAACAAGCTGAAAATAAACCAGGACCCTGTCAGAATCTTTCACAAGCTGTACTAGGCAAAAGTATATGCTGCAAAATCTTTCTCAAAGCTGTATGGAACAAACGTACATGCTGTTTGTTATTGTTGGTTATTGTAAGAAATAGACTATGTTGCACTTTGTTGTATTTGTTGTATTGATACAAACAACAAGGATCATATAAGTTACCTTGAGCACCAGTGTATTATTCATTAGTAACTTTAAACAAGAGTCTCTTTATATTGGTTGCCATCTCATGGTATATGTTGTGTTTGTACTGGATAGACCTTTCCTTGATTACAGGCAGCCCCCAACTTAATTCTCACCAACAACATCTTCTCACCAACAACCATGGATCACCCATCAGAGGCACAGTCCCAGGATCTACGTGTCAACTCTGTACCCATATATACCTTGGTAATACTTATACGGACCTATTAATACCAGTGGACCACCAAAAAGGCAAATAAATGGTTCCTAGGTCAAATCTAGCCTGAAATTCTCCCTGCCAAGCAGATTTATCACAGATGGTTATATTTATAGGATATAGCAGGTAACTTAAAATGACAAACTGATAGTAATTCAACAGTGCTGTATGGTGGTGAATAGCTGTTAAACGGTAAGCAATTATCTTATTTAATATATGTAGATATCTAGAATCATTAAGTATTTGTCGTATGTAATGCTATTAACAAAATCAATAAAAAGATTTATTTTTTAAAAAAATCTAGCCTGAACTCTCCCTTGAAGCTAAAAGGACTAAACTGAGGCTATCATACTTTGATCACATTAAGAGAAGATAAGAATATAAGAGAAACCAATGCTGGATCAAGCCAGTGGCCCATCCAGTCCAACACTCCGACACACAGTGGCCAAAAATACCAGGAGTCATTGTGAAAGACAATAATGCTAGGAAAAGTTGAAGGCAGCACTAAAAGAGGAAGCCTGAACATGAGATGGATTGACTCAATTGAGGAAGTTTTTGCAAGACCAGAGCAAAGCTGTTAAGGACAGGACGTTTTGGAGAACGTCAATTTATAGGGTCACCATATCTGAAGCAACCTGACCGCACTCAACACACACAGACACCATCTGGGGGCTCCTCCACTTATAAATCACTTGATTTAATGTACACCACCATGTGCCAAAAATGCCCTTCTACTGTCTGTTTTGGACAGACTTGTTGATCTCTAAGTGAGAGAATCAATGAACACAAATCACACATAAGATGCACTAGACGCAAAGAAACGGGCTCTGAGCCACAAAAAGTTTACGCTGCAGTACAATGTTGTCTGTTTTTGTTATTCTTTCTTTTGTTCACTTGTTCTAAGATAGACTCAGCCTCGGGTTCCGAAATCAGAGTGCACGCTAAATAATAATCCCCGCAAATAAATAAACCCTCCGCACATTTGCACAGGAGGACATTTTATTGACATGCGTACAATCTTACTTCCGAGACAGAAGGGACGGAATGCAGCTATAAATAGCCAAAGCTCTATCTCAGGCAGGCCGACCACGCTTGCTTCAGGGTAAGCGCAACTGAAGAGGACAAAATTTATTTCAGACTAATCACCATAAGGCGACGATTAGCTTTCCTCCCTTCCCCGCCCAGTGCATTCCAATAGGGCCACAAAAGCTGCCTGTCACGCCTCTCAGCGCCGTTTACCTCAGGAAATGCTCCGACTGTGGCCGGACTCGGCGCTGCCTCTCCCGGCTTCCCGAGCTCCGCCTTCTCGCAAACAGCGCCGCGGCGGGTGAGAGGTCAGAGGGGAAAAGGCTCCCGATGATGGCGGAAGAGAAGCCGCGAAGCTCCGCTAAAAGCCGACATCACCGCAGACGCTCAGGTAAAAATGGTCGGTCCTCTCCCCCCCCCCCTCCTTACAGCATGGGTTAGTCTTTCTCTATCGTTCGCCTCCATAACGAAACGGGGGTGGAAAACCGGGAGGGGGGTGGGTGGGACAAATGCCACGTTCCCCGACTCGAGGGCGGGCTCAGACAAGACCTGCTGGGTATCAACAAGCTTCGTCCCACTTTGTATTGTGGATTTTAATGTAAAACAGGGTGGATAGGTTTGTAGCCCTGGTTTCTAGAGCTCCTCTGGCTTTAGATTTCTCAGGTCCTGTGGATTTTTATTAGAAAGGAAATGTTACTAGGATAACCAAGCTTTCATAAAAACCGTTTCCGAATTATAGTAAGTGGTTAAGACGCTGAACTGCAGGCTGTGGAAGGTCAGTAGTTCAGCAGTTCAAGACCCGGGTGCCGCATGATGGAGTGAGCTCCCATCTCTAGTTCCAGCTCCTGCCAACCTAGCAGTTCGAAAGCAAGAAATTGCAAGTAGAGAAATAAGTACCACTTCGGTGGGAAGGTAACAGCATTCCGTGCACCTTGGTGTTTACTCATGCCAGCCACATGACCACGGAAACGTCTTCGGACAGCGCTGGCTCTTCGGCTTTGGAATGGAGATGAGCACCGCAACCCTAGAGTCGGATTCGACTGGCTTTCGAGCAAGGGAACCTTTACCTTTACTTTATCTCTCTCAGTTAAAGCATGTGTTCCTTAGGCTGCTGTCACAGGAGCAGCACCAATAATAAAGTTGGCAACCCTATCAGTAAGTGAATTGGTTCAGTCGGGTGTTTCAGTCTTATTTACTTTGTTGGTACCCAAAACAGCACTCTTTATCTAGAGTAGCTGCGATCTCTTTATGCACATAGATCCAGGTGGGCAGCCATATTGGTTGGAAGCAATAGAACAAAGTTAGAGTCCAGGTGCACCTTTAAGACCAGCATAGTTTTATTCAAGGTATAAGCTTTTGTGTGCATGCACACTTCTTTAAGATACAATGAAATGGAAATCGAAATAACGGTCATACATATAGAAGATGGGCTGTAAATTAGCATACAGAATAATGAAGATGTTTTGAACAGATTAAAGGAATAACAAGCTTAGTTATGTGGCTATTATCTGTTTGGGTTCAACTCATGGGCTCTGTGCGCACTCGACTGCTCATACCTTGAATAAAACCTTTTTGGTCTTAAAGGTGCCACCAGGCTCTAACTTTGTTATTTGTGCACATAGTACTGCTAATGTGGTCATAGCTGCCCATAGCGTTCATACAAATAAAAGTGTAAAGTTCATCTTTCAGTAATGATTGAACAGGCCTAAATGTAAGTATACAAAAATATTCTCAATCTGTTAATTGGCACTGGACATCTTTATTGTTTAAGTTAATTAGCTGATGAAAGTTCAGTCTGAAACCAGCCAGTCATATTTACACAAATGTTTACCTTGCCTTGTATAAAGTAGTTGATAGAATATGCGTCATGTGCAGCCTAGTCTTCTAAGTATCTGCATTATCTGAATAACAACATATTCTTAGGGTACCTAAGATGCCAGTACCTATATCACAAAATGTGTTTAAAACACTTCTTTGTAGAGTTTTGTCAAGGTTATCCTACAAGTAAAATTGTAGGATACAGTTTTTATGCTCCAGGCCTTATATGGAATAAATTGTTTGGTTATGTTTTTATGCATCATTTGTTTTGGTTTTTTTAAAAAAAATAGGAAATAAACAAACCAGTACTTCGAAGAATGAAGATGCTGCACAAAGGTATGTTACATTCATGAGCAATTCAGTCCTCTGTTGAGGGGGAAGTCTATTAGTAGATGAGCCCAAAGATCTCCTGTAAGGCAAATTTTTAGACCAATAACAATAGGCCTGCATGTGTTATGAAAGTTTGCAAGCAATCCAGTAAAAGTGATGACTTTGTGGTAGGATCCATGGGTCAGAGGTGGGGAAGGAAGCACAGAATGTAAACCATGGTCTTAAGTATCTATCCAAAAGCAGCAAATCATGGTTTGGAACATGATCTATGATTAATTTAGCATAAACCATGGTTTCAGAGTGCTGCCCATATAGACCAATGTATTTTCTCTTGCAGGAGAGCAGCACTTGAGGCTGCTATTCGAAAGAAGATTGAATATGAGCGAAAAGCCTTGTGTATTGTTCAACGTCTGTTGGAAGATGATATTACTGAAGAGTTCCTTGTGAATTGTGTATGTTTTCCTTTTATACTACTGTATGTTGTTTTATTTATATGTTTGTTTGTTTTGGAGCTGTGGTGGCTCAGTTGGTTAAGACGCTGAACTGCAGACTGTGGAAGGTCAGTAGTTCAGCAGTTCAAGACCCAAGTTGCCGCATGACGGAGTGAGCTCCCATCTCTAGTTCCAGCTCCTACCAACCTAGCAGTTCGAAAGCAAGAAATTGCAAGTAGATAAATAGGTACCACTTTGGTGGGAAGGTAACAACGTTCCGTGCGCCTTGGTGTTTAGTCGTGCCGGCCACATGACCACGGAAACGTCTTCGGACAGCGCTGGCTCTTCGGCTTTGAAACGGAGATGAGCACCCCAACCCTAGAGTAGGACTCGACTGGCTTTCGAGCAAGGGAACCTTTACCTTTACCTTGTTTATTTTATTTATTTGGTACATTTTTATCTTCCCCTTTCCCCAAGGAGCTAAAGGGGGCATACGTAGTTCTTCCTTCTCCATTTTATTTTCACAACCCTGTGAGGTCATGTACATTGTGAGAGTGATTGGTCCAAGGTCATCCATTGAGCTTCAGGGCAGAGTGGGGATTTGCACTTGTGTCTCCCACATCCTTTTCCAGGAGAAGACTTAGTGTTAAGCTACAGTCCTGTGCACACTTACCTTGGAATAAGTCCCATTGAGTAAAGTGTGAATAGCAATGCCCAGGATTGCACTCTTGGCCATGCTTAATTTCCATTTGAAATCAAAGGGATAAACTGTGAGTCCAATTGATTTCAATATTCATGAAGTATGTAGCATATCAGGAAGATAACAACGCTGTGACCAACAAAAAACAGCTTAAAATAAGGCAAAGTGTACGTGGGGGGAATATATAGACTGACACAACTATTTTTGCATCAGGCTGGTGACCATTCCTAGATCTTAAAAAGTTCTAGCAGAAATAGGACAGAACTTAGAAGGTGGGTTTTTTTTCCATGCCACTTTATACCATTTGGTTTTCTCCATCTCCATCTCCATCCAAATCTTCCCACACTGAAGATTTTGAACCTTTTTTTAATATAATCTCTTTATTGGATTTTCACATATAAGAAAAGAAAAAGAGATATACATAGCACAATATTAGAACCTAATTAACTAAATTAATTATACATAATTGTCCAAATCACTTTTGTTATAGCATCATTGCCACCGCGTGAATCAAATTCATCTAAATTGCTCCAATAGCAAGGTTTATACATTACCAAACACTCTTACTCCTAAACCTTTCTCAGGCTAACAACAATATACTCATGAAGCTATCTTATTTATTTGAATAATTATAATCTTATATCCTGTTTGCTCTACTCAAAAGACCAGTTAATTAGAGGTTATTACATTTTGTACTGAAGAAATAACTTACAGACCTTCCTCCTACCACAGTATCTGAATCATTGTTATTTCAGTAAGAGACCCAGTTCTAGGTAGTACTAATTTAGCATTTCTACCAGTACACCGACATTAAGAAAGGCAGTTAAACTTTTAGAACAATATTTTTAACAAAGAAATTTCTTTTGTTACCTTTATGCAAACAATCTCTTCACCTAAATAGTTCACATCTTGCTCTTAATTGTTCTAATAAGGCAAACCAGCTATGTAAAAACATTCTATAATTGCATTTTGCTATTTTTTAATCTTTTAGAAAATATTTTTAATAAAAAAGTTTCTTTTATTAACTTTATAAAGACAATCTCTTTACCTAAATAATTCACCTCTTACTCTTAGTTGTTCTATTAGGAAAAAAACCCCCCAACAGCTATGTAGAAACCTTCTATAATTAGAGCCCTATAAAGAAAACTGGGGGGGGGGCAGTGTAAAAGAGCAAAGTGATCCACCCAAATAAGCATAATTTCCCACCATTTACTAAGTTACAAACTATCTCCCCCCCCTCCACAATAGTATTAGGTATCTTTCCTTTTTTTCCCAAAGACTTATTTATACCCAATAAGAAAACAAAAGTTCTACCAAAACCGAACATAGCTTTTGCCTCTTCCTTCTTCCCCATCTTTCAGTAAACTCCTTTTTCTTTTCAATCTCCTTTAGATGCCTTGCATTTTTGTACTCATAACTTTTAAGGCCTAAATCTTTTTTTCCTTGTTTCTGATAGCCAGTTCTCAGTCTTTTATTCACATTGGAATTCTTTACACCATCCTTTTCTCCTCTTTTCCGCTTTTCATTCTCATTCTTTTTTCTCCCTTGTACTTTTGATGGATGCCGTTTCATTATCTTTTTTCCAGAAATAGAGTTTTTTGTTTCTTTTAAGCCATATCTTGGAGTTGCGTTAATCTCCAAGGTTTCTCTTTCCGTATATACCGATTAGCCAGCAGCTCTCTCTCCTCCTCTTGAGAATACTCAGAGCCCTCAACAAAGCTCTGAGAACCTTGAACAGAGTCTCCTCTTTTCCTCGTGTTTGGACTTGAATTTCTGTAATTTTCAACCAGATTATTGCAGGCATTTTTTACCGCTTGCATAATTTCCTTCTGCAAGAAGTTTCTGAATTGTTCCCAAGTAAGGTTATGGACTAGAGTATCTGGGTCTAGCTCTTCATTATCAGCTTCCAGCTCCATTTTACAATGCAGCCACACCTGTACTTTCAATTGCCAACAATCTTTTGCACATATTTTCCCTTAGTTGCCATCCGACTGATCTTCAAGTTTAAAATTCCAACCAACAATAAGAGCTCAAACATGTTTAACTGTCCCGCAAACGATAGCAGTTCAAACAGAATAGTAAGTATTTTTCTTACCCCCACCATTTTCACATAGATTTCTTCTCCAAACACTTCCAAGCCATTTTCTTATCATTGGATTTAATTCTTGGGGGTATTAAAGTCCCAAATGACTCAGTTTTAACTTGATTTTACACAGTATAATATCTTCATTGCAATATGTTTCTTGTTTCATGAGATATATAAGTTAAAAATGCTGGTCTAGGAAAAACTAGGAAAATCATGAAAACCATGTTTTCTCCACTTCTTCACTCCTGCTTCGGGGCGAAACAGCCACACCCCCGCGTTTGCCCTCCAGGAAGTAGAGCGGAGCCCCTCGCTGAGCAAAGGGACCCCAAAGGAGCGAAGTGGAATCGGACGGGCTTGGGAGCAACCTGAGACACGTCTGCTCGTAGCGCCATTCCGTGTTCCTTTTCAAGATTTTGTATGTAAGATTTTTAAAACTGAAAATAAAAAGTAAAAAAAAAAAGATTTTGAACCTTGATTGCTGTTAAACAGCATTAATAAACCCTTATTTTGACCATCCTGTTAAGTGTTCATATTCACTTGGGCTCCCAGTCACAGCTCTCCAAGGTAGATCTAGGCTGAAATGATAACTTAGTTTCAAGTTTCATACATGTTCCAACAGCTGGAGTATAAAAAAATTAATTTGGATTAATTTGGAAAACCTCTTGAAATGTAACTGTCTTCCAGTAAAGGTGCTTAGATAATGTCTTTCATTAGTTTTTTTCAATTTTAAAGGTTCTTTGAATTTTGTTGTAAGAGCAAATAACTTTTCCACATGTTGACAACTTATATAATCATTAATATAAGCATGGAATGATGGCAGCTGGAAAAATGCATCATTATGTAAAGTACCTAAAATTGTCTCTACAGTGTCCCTTATTATCAAGGAAAAGCAGATGGCAAGTCTTTGTTTTAGTTTTTAAAAAGTACAAAAAGGGTTTAAAAGATATTCATTCTTCCTCTTTCATCATTTACTGTTCTTGTTTCTTTTCATTTTTATAATTTTATTTTTTTCTAAATCTGCCCTTTCAGTTCTGAATTTTAACCATTGCATGCACTGCCTAGTTTTGTGAAGGTGTAGTGGTTAAGTGCGCGGACTCTAATTTAGGAGAACCGGGTTTGATTCCCCACTCCTCCACTTGCACCTGGCTGGATGACCTTGGGCAAGCCGTAGTTCTGATAAAAGCTGTTCTTGAAAAATAGCAGTTTCTGTCAAGAGCTCTCTCAGCCCCACCTACCTCACAGGGTGTCTGTTGTGGGGAGGGGAAGGGAAAGGCGTTTGTAAGACGCTCTGAGACACCTTTGGGTAGTGAAGGGCGGGGGTATAAATCCAATATCTTCTTCATAATTTCAGGGGAAATATATAACACCTTCTCACTATAAGGACGTTGTGGAAGAACGATTTATCATCAAGTTATGCGGCTACCCTATATGTCGAAAGAAGCTAGAAAATGTAAGTTCGATGGTTTGATCCCGCCATGCAATTGTTAAATAAAACTTTGTTCAGTCCTATTGCACAAGAGCTACTGGAAGATCAAGCACAGATTTTTCATTTCTGGGAAGCTGTGTACAATAATCAAAAGGAAGTTATTACAGTGCATTTTGGAAGAACAATATGATTGATCAAATATCACTACCCAGGAGGGGGGATAGGCTGAGAAATGCCTGAGACTATGTCTTGTATACGTGTAAACGCAGGATGGGATATAGTCAAGTTAACTTAGTCCAAGGGCTACTTGCAGTCACTTTCTTGCATTTCCATTTGCACAAGAGCCCTTCTGTGACTGGGTATGTTCAGTGGGATCCAGCCCTTTGAGTAGTTTCTCTGTTTTTGGTCATCCTTGTGTGCTACCAGTATGTGTTTTGGCTGAAGCGCCTGACATTCAGACTGGCAATTTGTGTAGGTTCACTGTAACCTTCCCCTGCAACAGATCCATAACTTTGACTTCCATGTCAGACCAAGAGCCATTTCACATTACCCTGTAAAAACTCTTACTGTCCCATCATGGAATAAACCGGGACGGCTGTTTCACACAGCCTTTCCCTTCTGGTAAGGAGCCGTCTCTGAAGTGGTGTGTCATTTCAAACTGTGCCGCTTTCTTTTCCTGCCACCACCACCCCGCCCCCATGTGCACGATCTCCCCGAGAGGGTTTTTTTTTTTTTAAAAAAAAACCCATTCTATTGGGAGCACTATGGCGCTGAAGCAGGACTTCAAACCAGCACCATGGCGACCCCATTGGACTCCATTTAGATACACTGACATTCACTACTGGTGTCACCTGAAAACAAGGAGCTCACTGGATACAGAGTTCAAGCATGGGGGGGGGGGGGAAACCGGACAGTTTTGAAACCCAAGAAGTTTTCCTTCCTTCCTTAATTCCCACAAACCATGGTGTGTGTGTGCTTGTGTGTGTGTGCCTGAGTCTACACTTCCTCTAAAGCAAACTTTAAAAAAATCGACCAGACATCTGTCTCTCCATTCACTTATGCCCCTGAACTCCCACTTAAACAAGCTGCACAGTCAGGTACTTGTTTCCAGGGGACAGCAGTAGTGGATGTCAGTGTATTTAAATGGAGTCCAGGCATCTCAATGGGATCGCTATGGTGCTCCCAATAGAGCATTAAAAAAAAGAGGACGATCGCACGCGAGGAGGGCTCGAAAAGAACTGTCATTGCAGGAAGCTCTGTGGGGCATTTTATACAGCACTTCAGAAGCGATAGAAAGGATTGAAGACTGGAGGAAAGGAGTTTGAGTCAAAAATACTTCAGGCATGCTTCCCGAATGGGACAGAAGCGTGTTTGTGTGAACAGGTAAATATGTTCCGTCAGGGACCAGTTACTAAAATGGGTCTGTCTGAAATAACAGGAAAAAGCCGTTAGTGGCCAGTTCCTGAAACGGAATACTTAGGCTGTCTGAAATTGGCCCCAAATGTCTTTGACTTGCTGGTTTATAATATTTTCCAAAGTTTGTACTAAATTCTTGGGTAGAAAAACTCGCACAGATGTGTGCACAAGCAAATGCAGAGAATCAAGCATCTGCAGAACACTGTTTTAGGTACAGTGTTTGTACCTTGCCTTTATACTAATATTGGCACCTAAGGCAGTTTACACATTTTTAAAACAGTTCAAAATGAAGAGAATTTAGGCTGGTCCTGCATCGGGCAAGGGGTTGGATTAGATAGTCTGTATGGCCCCTTCCAACTCTATGATTCTATGTTTCTACGAATGCTGATGATCTTTAAAGAATATACAAGAGTAATGACAAGAAAATGGAGGGGCTTGTTTAGCCCAAACTTCTCCTTCTGCTGTGCTGCTGGGGTGCGAGAGAGGAAAAAGCCACAAAGTCCTCTGCCCAGCCTTGCCATGACTGGAGGATAACTTCCCACCACCACCGCCATGTAGTAGGCAAGTAATTGAGACAATGGGTATCAGTTGTCAGGGCCCAAACTACAGTTCTTACAGAAGCCCCAGCTGCTCCTCATTCTTTTTCATGGTGCTGCCATAAAACTGGGGAGGCAAAATTGCCACCTCAGTCCTCAGTTTCATAGATAGATACTAAGCAAGTCTCCTTAGAATCCTACTCAGGTCTATTGGGTGGGGCTTTCTCCTAGGGAAGTGTTCTTAGGATGGCACTATTAAGTTGGTAAAGAGCAGGGCAGGCATAGAAAGGCACAGATGAAGAGTCTGGTCTGCAGATGTGGGTTCATGAACAAAAATCATAAATCTAACATTGACGAAATTGTTGTGTCTTTAAACACAAGCTATGGGATTTCAATGAATGTTCTCAGATTTTCCATTCATTTGATAAGCATGATTAAGGATATCATTGCAGTTTGATCAGCAAACCAAAATACAGAGCATTATTTGAGAGAACTGGCTTGGGAAAGATGTCATTTACTAACTTGCCAAAATATGCTTTTTTTTTTAAGGTGCCAAAGCAAAAGTACAGAATTTCAACAAAAACCAACAAAGTTTATGATATCAGTGAACGAAAGGTATGTTGAAATGCTGCTCACTTCATTACAAAAAAGACAGTCTGGGAACCCTAAGGCTGTAATCCTGGCCAGATGCAGGGCCCTCTGCCCATCAGACCCATAGTTACAGTGGGGCATCTTAGGGCCTGCCCCCCCGACTTACTGCTAAGGCCCCCTGACTTGCCATCCAGCCCAGGCCCCCCAACTTCCAATGTTTTATTTTATTTGTGGGCGCTCCTTGGGGGGGTGCGGGGTGCCCCCCAACTTATTTAAAGGCCCCCTGAATTAAAAAAATTCTGACTACGGGCCTGCTGCCCATGCTGCTCTTTCTGGCTTTCCTTGGCTGCTTTCAGCTCTAAACCCTTCTTCCATTGTAGTGCAGGAAGTTTCCATCTTTGCACCCAGTAGTTTAGATCTTCACACAACCAACTTCTAAGCAAGGTTGGTGTTTTCTGTGGAAATTTACTTTATTGAGCTGTGCTTTGGCCATGGTACAACCTTTATAAGCACCACCCAACACACCCACATCTACATCCTGGGTCGAATTAGAGCCCTCTGTAAACTAGAAAATGGTCCTGGACCATGAAGAGTAGTCAGAGTTAACTTCAGTGCCACTATAGAAGTGAGCCTGTGGATCTGTGTTTAATGCACTTATCCAAGCCAGCTTGGTGTAGTGGTTATGAGCAGCAGACTCTAATCTGGAGAGGGTTTGATTCCCCACTCCTCCACATGAAGCCAGCTGGGTGACCTTGGGTCAGTCACAGTTCTCTCAAAACTCTCTCAGCCCTGCCTACCTCACAGGGTGTCTGTTGTGGGGAGAGGAAGGGAAGGCAATTGTAAGCCACTCTGAGACTCCTTCAGATAGTGAAAAGCGGGGTGTAAAACCAACTCTTATTCTTCTACCAGATCTGTTGAATGTTTTGTAAAAAAAGATACTTTATTGTTGTTGTTCTTTCTGCAGTGTTTTTGCAGCAACTTTTGTTACAGGGCATCCAAATATTTTGAAGGTCAAATTTCCAAAAGCCCTTTGTGGCTACAAGAAGAAGAAAGGTAATTGGATAGCTAACAATGCAAATTCTGTCTCTGTAGAACGTTTTCTTGGGAATCAACAGAAGGAGATTATAAGGGGATTAGATGGATTCATGGAGGATAGGTCTATGAGTGGCTACTAGCCATAACCTCCACATTTGGAGGCACTAAACCTCTGAATCCAAGTGACAGGAGCCAACATCAGAGGAAGTGGCCTCTATGCCCTGTTGTTGTCCCTCCAGAGGAACGGGTTGACCACAGTGTGAGACAGGATGCTGGACTAGATGGACTATTGGTCTGGTCCAGCAGGGCTCATCTTAAGTTCTTAAGGAAAAACCAAAGTGGAGGAGCAGGCTGTATTTTTAAATATTTGCCCTGTGTTTCAAGATGTATTGTTTACCAAAGGATATGGCCTTTACTTAATGGTAGAAAATGCGTTGCTTTACAAAGAGTATATATAGAATCCTGTCCTTCATAACTGCCTTTTCTTAGACTGCCGTGGTGTTTCTCCTGTGTTTAATTTGTTACAGCTGTTTGATCCCTGTGGCTCCTGCACATCAGCAGCAGATCTGCTGAATTTTGCAGTGGCAGCATTTATGCTTTTTATTTTACTTTGGTTGCAGTAAATTAGGCTTCAGCATAGAAAAACGGTTATGCTTGAGCTGGATATTCTGAAACTGACAAGATAGCAAAGCACATGCAATTAAAATTAGTATACAGTTGAACAGACTTGCAACAAGAAAAATCTGGAATATTTGCTCCAGGGAGAATGTCAGTTCTGCTGCAGAGATGCGACTATCGATAGCTGTATTTTGGGGCTCTGGATGAGGACTGGTATAAACCTGACACTGAGTCACAAATCAGGAGGCGGCCTTAGGAATATGCATCTTATTTCATCTTCAACCATGGTTAAGCAGTTCTTCAGTACTGATGTCAACTGCTGTTAAGGGCTGGCCAGGAATTGTGGTTTAAAGTGCATTTTAGATGCTCACTTAAGGGAGCCTTTCGTTAAACATCAATGCTGACAAACAGTTTTGACCACCCATAATGATGGGAAGGTAGAATTTGCTCCAGGGGAGGGAATTGTGTAGTATGTGGCTGATATCCACTTTGTTAGGTAAGACCACGAAGGTACCAGCATTGCACCCACACTGGACTCAATTTCAAAATGCCCTTCTGTGGCCTAATCACAGAGCCAGCTTGGGTGACTTTGGGTCAGTCACAGCTCTTTCAGAGCTCTCTCAGCCCAAAAGATAAGTCTAGCTCACCACTTAGTGCAAAAAGAGCTAGAACTTAAGGCTGCTAGACAATCTTCAGATCTCCTGGCTATGCTACACACAATGCCATACGATAATGATCATCATTATTATTACAAATCTTTCTTTCTAAAAGGCAGGATTACGTCCCCCATTAATCTTATTACTCTTATTACAGGATTTAGTCTAATTTTTAGCAATAATACAAAATTAAAACTTTTGAAAACATGTGTTGGTGAAAAAGAATAAATCACACTTCAGCCTAGGAAATACAGTTCCCATTTTCTGTCATTATTCAGTGGTAGGCGCAGTTGACCAGAATAAATTGCAATTTAACCATGTTGCCACTGGATGTCACTATTTCACAACCTAGCATGAAGTAAGATCAGACAGAATTTGCAGATGGTATATAAAAATGGTTGTTGTATCACATACAGAAACCTGCATCGCATACAGAACCCTGTTATGAAATCAGAAATCATTAGTTTTTTCTGAAATATTTATATTTTGTTTGGAACAAAAATAACAAATGTGCCATCAGAACTTTCAAACCACATTTGTTTTTGAAAAACTTCTGAGGATACTGAATAATCTGAAAACATACCACTAGTTGTTCTGGGGTTTTTTTCCCTTTAAAATACAGACATTGGAGATTTACTGTGCCTGTTTCTGTAATTTTTTTTTTTTAAGTACCCATAGGTACACTTTTATTGATTTTTCTTTTATAATCTACAACAAACTAATCTACACACTACAAACAGACACTCTACTACACATAACATGTATGCCAAGAGTATACTTGGCATACTTGGCATACTGTTTCTGTAATTATGATGAGGATTGCAAAAAATAGATTTTTAAAAAATCAGTGAATCCTAGAGGGATTCACTAAAGAAAAAAGGCCCCACACCAGTAGTTGTGTACAACAAGGTTTTTTGCTCATGACCTGAAGACAGAGATGGTCTGAATAATTTTGGTGCCTGAAGCAGAAAATCTAAATGGTAGCTATCATGGCTTACTTAAAAAAAAAAAAAGATACCCCAATATCTTGAGTTGGGCTGTATGTGAGAGCAAGACTTACCCCGTCTCCACAAAGAACTTAATGTGGCAACCTGACATCCTGTCTTAGGCTGTACATTCATTTTTCATACATACATTTTCATCCATGCTGGGTGGAGGCTGTATTGCTTTTTAACATTGTATATATAATTGTACCTACCTTCCATCCTAGAATGTAAGGCCACATGCATGCAGTTCCTAGGGAATCTCCCATCTAAGTCCTGAGCAGATCCGGTCTTACTTAGCTTCAGCCAGTTACTGTGTCCTGTGTTCTCCAGCCATATTCCTCTAGCGATCACAGGGTACCTTTCTTTGTGCTGTGCTATGGAGGTGAAAGGCAGCTGTCTGGATCCAGATGCAGAACATGCAACACTCTTTTCATAGCCTAGGTCATGGGTCCCCAACATTTTTGAGCCAGTACACACCTGAGAAATTCTGACACAGGGTAGTGGCCACAACCTCAAATAGGCTGCCACAGAAGGTGGAGCCCGACCATACATCCAGAGGAAGTCCGGATGCAGGGGAGAAGAGGGTAATTTAAAAATACACTGGGAAAGAAGAGAGAAAATGAAACCAACTTTGTGGTGGCAGCTGCTGCTGAAGCAACATTATTTTACTCTGTGCAGTATCTCCAGGGACAAATCAGAACCCCTGCTGGGCGAAAGCCCCACCTGGCTCTATCCACTCTCTGAAAACATTTGCTGGGCACAGGTAAGGTGTCGGTGGGCACCATGACGCCCAGAGGTACCATCTTGGGACCCTGGCCTAGATTCTTTAGCTTCTTATGGCATGTGAAGCTTCACAGGTATGTGAACTGGTGCTTTCCCTTGGTTTGGCTATCCAAAGGAGCACTCTACTTGCACTGATAAACCGCAGCTTTATATTCAAGTTATCTTAAAACCTTTGTAGGAATTTTCAGCAATGATAAATTCATGAAATTTACTTTAAAAGAACAGGCTATGTAATTTATTTTTATGAAAGAGCTGTAAATAAAATTTGAAAACACTTCAAAACATTTTAATAGCACCTTTGACGTAACAATGGCACTATTCTTATTTAGTCTCCAGGGGGCAACTCCAGTGTGCATGTGGGACCCCATCCAACCCACTCTTCAGCAGACCTGAGACAAGTAACTTGAATAAATGCAAAAATATTCCTGAGCTCTTCTATGAGGAATATTTTCAGATATTTTGTAGCCTAGCTGTCTGAAGGTGTAGTGAGGTATAAATAGACAGATATACCAGTTTATAGGCACAGTTTACTATCAATTTTATTGGGTATGCATAAGTGGTAAATGTGTGTGTGTGTGTGTTTGGTACCTTCACATTATTGCCAGATTAAAGTACTTTTTTTTTTTATATTTTTCAAGGCCCCCTGACATTAAGTTGTTAAAGGAAGGAGAAAGGTACGTTAGAAATGATGATTTCATTTATGTATCCACAATCTGTTTGAAAGAAGTCTTTGATTTCCTGTTCTGCCCTACAAGTGCTGTTATTGTAGCACCCACAAAGACCTGTTTGCCTTGATTAGTTTTTTTTTCTCTTTTGTGATGGTGAAAAGTCTGTTTGATCTGTATGATTTACAGCTGCCTCTCGTTTTGTACTCTTAATTGAACCTGTTGAAACATGACACAAACACAGTGTTTGTTCTGGGATCCTATGTACCCCTTTTTGTATATCATTGCCTTTGGAAATGAAATGGGACCAATTATAAGTGCTGAAAGCTTGTTTATGTCTTAAGTTAAAACATTAAATAAGCAGTTCCCACTGGTTTTGTATTTATTTAAAGTAGGAGGGGAAGCCCTCTGCCCACATCTGCAGTCTGTGGGGTTTTTGATAGCTGTTTTGGTTTGGGTCTCTGGAGGCTTCCTTTTGACTGTACCTCCAAAGCAAGTAATTGCTCATCACTTGATAGAATAAGAGAAGAAAGATCTATGTTTTTCTTGTGGTGGTGAAAAAAACACACCACTGAGATTTTCTTTTTAATCTTCCCTTACAAACCTTAACTATTTGTTAAATCAGTTGTCCCAGATGCACTGATAGCAGAGGTGTCCTTCGTTTCTCAGTTGAAACCGGAGTCATGCTTGGCTCTTCGTCTAAAAAGACTTGCTTTTAGCAGTGAAGCTCATTCCAACTGTGTTTCTAATGATAATACCTAGCATTTATATACAGCTTTCAATACTCAGAACACATCACACATTATCTTAGTGGAGTTTTTACAACAGCCCAGTAAGGTAGTCCACTATTATTGGCTCCATATTACACATGGTGAGCTGTGTGAGAGAGGCTTGATTAAGCCACCCAGCAGGTTTCCAGCAGAGGTAAAATTTGAACCATGCACCTCCTGGATCACAGTTCCCACAGAACACTTCTGTTCAGAGTTACTCAAAGCCTATTGCATATTTGTGTTGTTTCCTTCAGGCATGCATTACTGATTTACACAAACATTAAATATCCTAGTCACCTATCCTGACCCTTTGGAATGGACCGTGTTGGAAATTTTATTAAATCCCATTACAGTATAAATCAGGAGTCCAAATCTTGTTGAGCCTATGGGCGCTTTTGGAATTTGGAAATCATGTAACGGGCATCACCAACAACAGCTGCCAGGGAGGCTGTGGCCAGTCACAAAATAGTGGGAGGCTCCAGGCCCAATTGTCGACCTATGATGGAGGCATCTGTTTCCTAGCGGATATGCCTTGTATATGCAAAGATGAAGCCTCTGGGCTCTTCTGAAGTTTGTTCTGCTCCAATGAGATAAAGGAAAACCAGGACTGGCTCTTTGCTTTGGGCAAGAGATGCTTGGGCATGAAAGAAGTGGGTGCCAGAAACTTATCCATGGGCACCATGTTACTCGTAGGTACCACACTGATTTTAATTAAGGTGAGCTTACCAGCTGAAATCTGTATTTAAAGCCCAGACTTTTGTAGCTTTGACTCCAGACATCAAAAATAAACGGGATGAAATTGCAGCTGAGCTAAAAATAACGTGAAGTTAGCAAAATGGCATCTAGATCTTTTCTCATGGTTTCATACTACTGGATATACAGGAGAAGCCTGGTGAGCCGTAGTCTACAGCTATCAGTGCAACCTCGTTTTAGGGAATATGCACCTGTCCCTTTGCTACTCCTGAACGTTCTCTTTGTTACTGCATACTTTCCACTCTTCTCTCTCCATTCACTTCACTTGTCAGTACATGAGGTCCGCAAGTAAAACCATAGCACGAAATTGTGGAAGGGTGTGGGTGAGCGGGGACAGGCGTGCCAGCTTTTAACATATGGTTCCAGCTTCCTTGAGTGGAATATTGTCAATTTGTAATCTTAAATACAGGTTTGCAAAATGTGTTGCCATTCAAATGCTGAGTATATCTGTTAGTGACTTCCATAATCATCTGTTAATAGTGGCCACTCGGGAAAAGAAGTAAAATTCTTCACTGAAGCAATTAGAACTTCTGACATTGAAGCTACTAGCCCATCACCAATCCAAGGAGACTTGGACACAGAGACTGAGAGCAGCAGCGATGCTGAGCAAGAATTTGTTTCTTTTGTTCTAGCAGACAGTTTATCCGGTGCAAAGAAGCTAGAGCATCAGCTGCCCAGAAGGAGCACGCTCAAAAAGAAGCATGTTGGGAGAGTGGGGCTGGAGTCTAGCAATACAAGGGATGCAGCTAATCATGCTGCAGAGGAATTAAGTAAATGCGAGTTAGATGCCCCAGAAGAGAAACATGCTGTTCCAGGTAACTCACAAGGGAAAATAAGTGACGTGTCCCCTGAAACCAGGAAAAACCCAGAAGGCTGGGAAGATAACTCTAGTGGTTCATCTGTGGTTTTCCTGGGTGTGAGCAAAAATGGGGCAGAAAAATTTAAAAGGTTGCTTGCCAAATCAAAACAGCCCGTTCCGCGTAGACCGAAAGGCCCAGCTGACTCTCTTGCCACTAAAAGCAGCCTGCTGGGAGGGCTCCAGCAAACATTTACCGAATGGAGGACTGAGGAGACCCTGAAGCTTCTCCATGGCAGCAGCTCTGTGGCCACACAGGAACCTGCAGTCAGCGGCAAGGAAGAACTTGATGAGGATGATTTTGATAGCACTTATGATCATAATGATGCCACTTCTGAAAGAGGCTTGGAACCCTGTTTGGACCTGTCTTTGCCTATCAGGGAACCCAGGATAGCAGCAGCTAAACCTTTGCCAAGTTATGAAAAACTAAGGGAAGACACAGCCCTGTTGGAGTTGAGGGTAAAAGAATTTTATGAAGGAAAGGTAACTTTGGCAGAAGAAGGTTTGATGATGCAACCCGGAGGGGACCAGCACCACAGCAATGATAAGGTAATTGACATTGAATGGATTAATTGCAAAACCATTTCCTTGCCGAAAAACACCAAAGTTGCTATTTTTATAACAAGTTATGAAGTGATGTGGGTCCAGAGTAGGGATGGGCAAGAACTGAACCATGAAGCAAAATTCATCATGAATTTTGCCCTGTTTGTGGTTCACAAACCAAATTTTGCAACAGGTTTATCGTCATAAATTTCCACAAATGTTTAAACCAGTTGATGGCAATTCATAGAGCAAGGTGGCCATGGGAGAATGGCTATTGTAAGAGGTGAAGCAACCCCCCCCCCCCCCCCCCCCCCCGTCTTCAGTGACAGGTCATTGGTTGAGATGAAGAAAGTTGTGTGGCATATTACTTTTGCTGTGTGTAGTCTAAATGTAAAATTTTTGATGGCTTCTTTGTGTCTTAATATTTTATCATGCCATGTTCTTTCTTACATAGGATTTTCAGCAGTGGACCGCTGCCTTTCCTCTTGTAGATTCTAATGCTCAACAGCAGATTCGAAGGAGGATTGTTCTCGAAAAGCTGCAGAAAGTGTAAGTATATTTTCCACTTGCATTTTTCAAATGTGAACGGAATAGACAAATGCAGTTGGTACAGAAGAGATTCTGCCCTTGAAACAGAGAGTGCAATGTGTCATTGCGCACTACTCCCACCCAAAGCTTCCCAACAGGTTTTCCTCTCCCTTTATGCCAAGTTTGCCTCCTTGGAGATGAGGTGCCCAGGAAGAGTCAGGGCAGCACACCTTTGAGAGGGCAAGATGCTTCTGGCACCAGCTGCTGTTCAAATACACTCTGGCCGTGCCTTTTTCCATGACAGGGGAGCACTCAGGATCAGACCCCAACATACAGCCTGTCAAGCTGGTGGAGAGTTTCTGTATAATTGGTGATAACAGCTCTCTGAAGAATTGCACTGAGTGCCCACACTATCTGCCCTGTATGCACCAGTTCTCAAAAGAATTGCAGCGAGAGCACCACTCACATAAAAAAGCAGCATAGTTTGCTTATAGTTCTGGGTCAGAAAACCAAATTTGCCCATGGTCAGCCGAACTTACAACTTCAGATTTGATCCGAAACTTCTTTGTCCTTTATGCTGTACAGAAACACTAGTAAACTTGTAGCCAGGTCACATTATATTTTCAGTGTGTGAAGGTTTCTGACTAATGTAACCAAAGAATGATGTGAACAGATCTTGGGCCAATTACTGGATAACTCAGCCTTTTCATCCTTTACACAGTTTGTATTTTAAGTAGTCTTACAGGATGATAAGGTTTAGTTAGAATCATAAGTTTCACTGAAAGTTCATCAAAACTTGAGGTTTATCTAGATGGTTAATGCCAGTGGGCTACATTCTAGCTTGAAGACAGAAAGTTGCCCTGACCTGGATAGCCCAGGCTAGCCTGATCTCGTCAGATCTCAGAAGCTAAGCAGGGTCAGCCCTGGCCAGTATTTGGATGGGGGGCCTCCAAGGAAGTTCAGGGTTGTGACGCAGAGGCAGGCAATGGCAAACTACCTCCAAAACATCTGTTCCCTTAAAAACAAGTCTAGCTAGCCACCTAGTGGTGCATAATGCTAAAAGAGCTAGAACGTCTGGCTGCCAGACAATCTTAGGATTGCCGTATGATGATAATAATAACAGAACATTTGCGGATAATGAAAAGATCTAATTTTGCTTTCTTTTCAGATTGCCCAGTGTTTTGGGACCTCTCCATATTCCTCTTGGTGATGTTGACAGTGAACTTAAAAATCTTGTTAAAACCTTTGCGTAAGTACAAAAGTCTTCCAGACATTTGAACTAATTACGTTACTGCTATTAGAAGATAACTTGCGAATAAGGCAGGCTAGGGTACAGTTGAATCACCTGTTGGTAACAATTAGAGATGTGAAATTTCCATAATTTCTGTAGCCTGGGGGGGGGGGGGGGGGAATTTTTTTTTTCCTAGTTATTTTTTCCCTAAGAAAAAAGAGGCATTTTGGGAAAACAGAAATAGATGTGTTTATGGTACATTCCTATCAAACCTAAACCTATTCCAGCCCTGAACTGGATAGCTCAGCAAGCCCAAACTCGTCAGATCTCGGAGGCTAAGCAGGGCTGACCCTGGCAAGTAATTGGAAGGGAGACCTCCAAGGAATACCAGGGCTCGGCATGCAGAGGCAGGCTATCAAGTTACCGCTCTGAAAAACGTCCAAGCCCCTAGTAAGGTTTGCCAGAAGTTGACATAATTTCCGTGCATGCAAGCACATGCACACACACACCCCTATTCCCTCCTTTAACAAGGTAAAAGACATCATAATTTAATTATCAAATACAATTATATTACTTGGCATATTTATGGGACATAAAAATATAAATGTCTTAGTTTTCTAAAAGCAAAATTGTAAATACACCCAGTACTGAAGCAAGAGAGATCTACAATGTAGTGTACCTTATGCGATCTTGTTAAATTTCATTTACTCAAAAAGAAAATAAAGGGGGATTATGTTCCGCTTGAATTTCCCAGTTTCTCTTAGACAAATTACCAAAAATGCTCTGTCTTTTTCTTGCTAGATTTTGTGAACAAAACTTTGCCTTAAAAATATTTTATTCACTTGGGAAAAAATCAGGAGTTTTCCATTGGAAATTTTTAAAAAGCCCTTGGATTTTCACGTTATATTTTGAGTGAACAAAACTCTGTCTTAAAATGCATTTGGCTCATTCCAAAGGGGAAAAGAAATTTCACTGAAGTATTTTTGTACTTCCTAAATTTCCCAATTTTTCAGTTGAAAAATTTAAAAAATTACCCCCCCCCCATGTTTCCAGTTTATCCTACCCTTCCCACATAGTGGTGCGGGCCTTTCGCATCTCTAGTAAAAGCATGTATAAAGATTAAATTAGAATCCCAGGGTCATCCTACCTAACCCTAAGCCCTTGTCCTAATGCAGGATACTTTAAACCTGAACCTGGCTGGGGTTTATTTACAAGTACAGCAGTAGAGTTGCCAGCCTGCAGGTGGCGGCTGGAGATCTGCTGTTACAAGTGATTTCCTTGGTACAGAAGTCAGTTCACCTGGAGAAAATGGCCACTTTGGAAGGTCAGCTCTGTGGCATTATACCCCACGGAAGTCCCTCCCCTCCCCAAACCCTGCCCTTCTCAGGCTCCACCCCCAAAATCTCCAGGTATTTCCCAACCCAGAGCTGGCAACGTTATATCAGTTAAATATTACATATTATGCATAAGCTCTAAAATTGGCAGAAAGCATGAGTTGCATTGTGTCTAGCTTTGCAGAGCAATATATGGTGTCTTATTTGAGGTTTCCTAAATGTTATTTCATTTAAAAAACAAAAACCACAAGCTTCTAGTCTTCTGGTTCCAGAGCCTTGGGAATTGGGATTGGTTTGGTCTTATTCCAAGAGTCAGAAGGTAAAAATTCTGTGCTGCCAACTTTCCTGGTCACAACCCAAGTCCTTACCCATAAAAGAATACGCACCACACCTTACAAACTAAAACAAGTTTATCAAACATACCTAAGACTAAATGGATGCAAGTGTGATTAAGTAGTCTAGTTTCAGGGATGCTGGGTTTTAAGGTTCAGGTCTTTCTAATGTAAAGATTTAGACTTGAGTGGCTGAGATGTTTTTGAAGAATGGTTCTGTTTTATTAAACATCAGCACAAGGGACCCAAAGTGTTCTTAGTAGGTAGGTGGGGTAGAAGTCACAACAATGACAAGCTCGTTTATGGCAGTAAACATAGTTTATGTCCTTGTTGCATGAACAGATCACGTGATGATGTATCCAGCATCTCATAGTGACAAAATTTAGAAAGCTGATGTTCAAATGAATTTGGAATCTTCCCTTCTGCCCTTTTTGCTGTTCTAGTCCCCTTACCTCCACATGCTATTACATTAGCTATCTGGTGTGCCTGAGAAATCAGTGTAGTCCTAACAACATTTTGGTGGGAATAAGCCCCATTGAACAGACCTTAGCAGGGTTCTGAGTAGACCAGTTTAGGATTGTTCTCTTGGGCTCTTAGTTTTGTCCCCTCTTCTGTCCCTTTTTTTCTGGATTGCTAAGGACTAGGCAACTAAGCCTGGCAAAGAGGACTTGGGAGTCTTTAAAACTAGAATTCTGAAGCCCGTCAATGCAGCCATTGTATCAATGCAGCCATTGTATGCATACCAGGGAAACTCAGGAAGGGTAAACTATAAAGTGGTCACAAGGAAGTGATATAGAACCTTTTCTGAGAAGTTCTGTTTTTTTTAATTAAATCAAGAGTATGACTGAGTGGCTTGTGGCTCTTGGTGATCCTTAACAGCCAGCTAACCTAGACAGAACTAAACTATCATTGGGGCACTGTTTATCTATTCCATAAAACATTTATATCCTGCCATTCCTCTTAGTTCAAGGCGGCTTACAATAATAATTACAACATCCTCAGCTAAAACCAAAGATAAAATAGCAAGCCCCGAATCATTCCCCCCTTCTCCCTTAAAAGATGCTGCCATTTGAACCTCCTCAAAAGTCCTGGCAAACAGGCAGGTCTTGCAGCACCTCCTGAAGGTCTCCAGGAAGGGGAGGCCCCCCTCCCCTCTTCAGGGAGCCCATTCCACAGAGCCGGAGCCATGATGGAAAAGGCCTGGGCTCTGGTCCATGCCAGATGGACCTCCTTAAGAGGCAGCATAGCCAGCAGGTGGCTGCCTGATAATTGTAGTTGGTGGTCAGGGATATGTGTGAGAACATGGTCCTGGCACAGAGGCAAAAGGTTCTTTGGTTGCTTTTGTAAGAACAGCGGACAAAGATGAGAGCTGTATTATTCATTTTATTTTGGCTTGGTGCAATTGTAACACTGCCCAATCTCCTGACTCCTCCCCTCTTTCTGTCTGTCTGTCTGTCTTTCTTGTTTAGCTATCCATGCAGTGTTATGTCTGTGCTGGCATACTTATTTACCACAGTTAGCTCCTTTGCAACTATTAGAACTGGGTTTGCAAATCTGTGGTTTGAGCTAATCAGGGTTAGAGAGAAATGCTGAGTCAAATGTAATGAGGTGCTGTGGTTAGTTCCAGAACTGGGGAGGAGGAGAAGGAAAGAGCATGCAAGTCTGTGTTCTGTCACTAGGAGACCAGGCAGCATCTCAGTTTGTACTGACTCTCTCTGGTCCTGCTAGGAATGCTTGCCAACAGAGAGAGGTTGAAGTGATCAAGGCCTAGTAGCAGCAGTCCAAAACATTTACTTTGAACACTACTGACTAATCAGCAGGATCAGCAAGCCTCCCTAACTTGGCCTTAGGGATCTTAAGGCAGGATCTCAGCATACTATATTTATTTGCTTGATTCCTTTCATTTATAATCTGCTTTTCTTGCTGAGACCTGAGGTACATTACAAGATGTAAAGAATATAATAAAAACAGGATAATACATACAATAAACGATACAACAAAGACTGCCTTCAATGTGAAATGGATATGTGAAAGTTCTAAATCAGGAAATCTTCAGTCTTGACAAAGTGCATGAGGAGGGAGTATGTGAGTCTAAAGTCATTTTGGTTTGTTCTCGTCACAAGCAGCCTCTGATTTGTTTGCAAAGTCTGAATGCACCTGTCTTGCTCAGAGGCATATAACTCAGTGTGCTGTCATTTTTATCAAAACTGCTTATGAATAAAGCTAAAATTCTAAGTGATTGTAAGATAGAAAATTACAACTCACTAAATAGTAATTGTGATATGACAGCTTGGACCCAGTCTAGGTTCACTGTTAGAGATGTAGTGATGGCCTCAGGCACAGATTGCTTTAAAAGAAGATTAGACAGATTCATGGAGGATAGGTCTATCAATGGCTACTAGCCATAGTGAATAAAGAAAACTTCCACATTCAGAGTCAGTAAACCTGTGCAACCCAGTGTTAGGAGCTGGGTGTGTTTAGCCTGGAGAGGAGATGACTGAGAGATAATATGATAACCATCTTCAGATACTTGTAGGGCTGTCATATAGAAGATGGTATGGAGTTGTTTTCTGTTGCCCCAGAAGGTTGGCCCAGAACCAATGGGATGAAATTAAATCAAAAGAGTTTTCTGCTAAACATTAGGAAGAACATCCTGACAGAGTAGTTCCTCTGTGGAACAGACTTCCTTGGGAGGTGGTGGGCTCTCCTTCTTTGGAGGTTTTCAAACAGAGGCTATCTGACCATCTGACAGCAATGCTGATGGTGTGAACTTAGGCAGATCATGAGAGGGAGGGCAGGAAGGGTTGCCTCAGTGCTTAGTTCTTGTTGCCCTTTCTTACACGCCCAGGGAAATGCTGATTGCCACTTTGGGGACAGGAAGCAATTTTTCTCCGGGCCAGTTTGGCTAGAGATCCTGGAGGTTTTTTGTCATCTGGGTGTGGAACAGCATTCATTGTGGGTGTGGAGGGGGGAGGTATTTGTGAATTTCCTGCATTGTGCAGGGGGTTGGACTAGATGATTCTGGAGGTCCCTTCCAACTCTATGATTCTAGGAGGCAATATCAGGGGAAGGCCTCATATCTTATGGTTATGATGCATTATATAAACCAAAACAGCAGTAGAGATTAAAACAAAATATAGAAAATACTTATTTGACTTAGATAATGTATTTTCTTTCTATTTTGTTTGATGTGCTGGTAAAGACCATTTGGACTAAGAACTAGAGAATAGCCCTGTTGCAGAAGACCAGAGCACGTGATGCGAGGGAGTTGAGGTTTGTGCGTTTTTTTCTAAAGGGAAAAGAGCATGTTGTGAAGAGAGCAACAGCAATTTTCAGCTCCATTGGTTTTTAA